AGTACAGGATAGTTCTAGAAACGTGGCGTCACAGTAGTCATGTGACTTGCTGACGCAACAGATGGAAAACCATCTCAAAGGAAGAAAATCAGTTATTCAAGAGTGCAGTGTCCAATGCAAGTGTATATACTATGTTTGTCTTCGTTAATAAATATTTTTATTCTGTATTACACATTGTGTTTAGTTTATTTTTTACCTAAGCTCAGTCAATTTCACTGAATTCAGTAATGCTTCATGATTTATCCTACTTGTCATTTCATTATAAAACGAAACTACCAAATACTCAGTTTAACCTAAGAACACCACAAGTACACAAATTGCTAGAAACGTTTATGTATGAATATTTTTGAAAAGTCTATGTGAAAATGAAATATATATATACCTTACTAAATTAAAGAACATATTAGACACAAAATATGCTTTTCACACTTCCAAACCTGGATTAAAGACTAAATTAAATGCTGACCAAATCTTCCAAGATTTGTTGGGATGTGTTGTATTATTTTGTGATTTAGAATATTAAGTACTTCTAGTCAATTTCTTGCAGAGGATAGGTTTTATTAATTTAGAATTTACATTTAGATTAAAATAATTTTTATTTATGTAGTTCACTTATTTCAGATTGAAACTTTTAATAGTTGAAGTGAGGGAAATCAGACTTATTTCTGACCGTTACAATGGTTACTCTAAAGTGACTAAAATTTTATAAAATAAACATGTAAAAGGTTTAAGTAACTCATCCTTTTAATATAAACTTCTGACAGTCACCTATTAACAGCTGAGGTTTTTAACTCTTTCCCAGATGCATTTATCAAAAAAAAATATAAACAACACCTATGAAAATGCATAAACTGCAGTAAATAGATATATAAATGATAAGGCATAGACCACATTATGCCCATATTGGACATCAAATTAACAGAAGTGTAAAAATATACTTCCCAGTACACCTAATTGTCTGTAGCGTATGTTGACAATAAAAATACAGTAGCTAATTTTCTTTTTTTGGGTCTTAAAATGTCTTGAAAAATATATGGTCAATTTTTTTTTGTAAGCTCTGTAAATCACTTTTTTTTCCAGAGCTTTGCAATACTACTTAAATTTGGCATTACTTAGAAATAAAAAAAACCACTTGAAATTTAAGAAACAAAAGGTACTACTACATATTGTTTAATTTCAAAATTATACGTAAAGTTTAATGTTTCATAAAATCCTTCATAGAAGTATCCAAAGTACATTAGTTAAATACCACTTTCAAAGCTAAACAAAAACAATGTTTCAGAAATTATGTGCAAAGATATACAAAGGGTTATCTGGGAATAGCTGGCCCCTGATTTTGAACTAGCAGATAGCCAAAAGCACCTCTCACCAGACAACTGACTGAATAGTGAATTTGAACATCTCTTTTTTTGCACACCCTTGGCCCTAAAGTGTATTTTTGCAGTAATGAGACACAAACCAAGAAAGAGAAACAATGAAACAAAATATCTAGTAATAAATTTATTTTCTATTTTCATATCTTTCTTGCATGTTTCACAGCACTCATATTATATAATTCAAAAAATACTTTTATCCAATTATAATGATATTATTATAAGCAGATGTTGTATTTCTTGTCAATCATCTGTTATTTAACTTCTACTCCAAATAAGTCAATTCAAGACATTTCAAATAGGTTATATTAATATCTGTATGTACTCAAAGTTGTTTACGACATCTTTTTCAGTACATTTATTCATGTCAGTATAAGATACACAAAACAAACCAACAAAGAACTCAAGGTACTGAATTAAGGCATGTCCAAATAAATGCTTTGGTATCTCCTGGCTTATACAATTCTTAAGTGGAATTTAAGACTGAATTGCAAGAAGTTTTAAGTATAATTAATTTTTCCAATGCATCAACAAAGCATATTGTGCTAAATTTGTAATGTTATAATTTAGACATTAACTAGAGGGCACATCACATTAAGATTGGGTTAGTTCTAGAATGTTTGGGAATATTACTGAATGAGGGAATTTGTGAAATATCTAGAACAAGGATTAGATTACAAATACAGATGAGCCAGTTAACTGGCTATGTAAGCTTACAGTGTAACAGCAAAGCATAAAGAAGATAGTTATTTTTTTAACTGGTAGAGTGAATAAATCAGTGGTTTTACATTTTCGGATCTGTGTTAGTTATCACATATATTGAGTTGATTTGTACATGCAGGTTGATTTTTAAGGATAGTGTAGCACAGGTAGCATAGTTATGATTGTAGGCTTACAATAACTTACAAAGTGTACAAGCATGTAAAAAAACATTAAGGATGAAATAAAACTAAATTATTTTGTGTGAACTGGATATTATATATTTCCACTAGATAATAGAACCTGCCAATGAGAGAACAACATAACAATGTGTTTTTAGTCAGTTAAATATTTTTTAAAACAAGAATATTCATATAAAGAAAATATGACAAAAACTGTCTTGGCTTTGATATCTTTGGGTGTTGTATTTTGTATGTGCTGCCCTCCCTCATATAATGTTAAATATACAATAAATTTGCACAGAACTAACTAAATATTTTCATTTTTTTCTATGCATTTGTAATTTTCCCAAGGGTTAAAGATTGTTTGAAACATTAATGCTAGAAAATCTACTATGTTATAGTTATCATAACAAAACTTCGTATTTAAAAAAAAAAAAGTGTTTTTAAGTTAACATTAAATATTTACATGTTATATCTGTAAATATCTTCCATTTCCCATTCAAAGTTCTTGTTTTATTTTCTTTAATTAAGAAATTTTTCACCTTCAAATTATTCAAGGTGTATATAAATTACAGAAGTATTTTCTTATTTGAATAGAATAGGAACCATGCCAGACAAACAGTTGCAATATATGGGAAACTGATGTCTGATGAGTTTTACCACTGGTTTAGATGAGGGTAAGTTAAAGACAATGTCTATAAGATAAAGGTACAGGACAATTGCTCTGATCACTCCAGAGATGATGGCACATACACGGTTAAAGATCAATTACTGTCTGGACATCTTGCAAGCTATAAATAGTGCCCATGCCAAGATGTACTAATGGCACAACTGGCCAAATCTGAGGTGTTCAAACTGCATTATACTTTAAATATTTATCTTGTATAGTTATTATATTCAAATAATAAATATTCAATAACTTATGGACACCCTGTACGTCAAGATTATTCGATATAATTTTTACCACAAGTGTTTATTCTTTGACACACTTCAAAATCTACAGATAACACAAATACCTTTAAAGGTTTTTTTTTTTTAAATTACATTAATTTCAAGATAAGTTCGTTCATACTTTTCTTGGACATTTTCTAGTGCTTCTAATCAATTTTCAAAATTTTTTACTACACTTTCATTCATAGACCAAGCATTATTTAAGAGATTAAGAACACAACTTCTAGCAAGAAAATCATTGTATCATAGAGATTATTCAAAAAAATTATGAGAATAATCTCGCTTTTCATTTTCTTAGCTAACCAAAGCTGATTTGTTTTTTTTTCCTGTCTATATTGCCAACAAATAAACATGAGCAACAGTCTAACAAGAAAGTGAGACAAACTGAACTATTCATTCAGAAAGAAACATCATAAACGTGGATATAGCCGAATGTGTAGTAGGAATAAATAAGTGACACATTTATATATAATTAATATTTACACTTCACATAACCTTCATCACAAGTACCTGAACACAGAGATGTCTCTACTAAAACAGAAGACATACTGGTATTATATCTTTAATGAAAATGTTTACTATTTTTCAATTAAAAGTAACTTATCAATCAACATGTTTTCCAAGTGCCTCATACACTGTAGTTGTAGAAAACTTTACATCACAAGTAGCCAGTTGTTCCATTATAATGTATTTATACAGAAAATATTTTATCATCAGAACATTTTACAATTAAATGCTTGTACCATGCATGGTTTGTAAAGTACTTAAACATTTTCTAATTATCACAATTGCAAAAGAAGTGGCTGACTTTTTGTGTACACTTATAACCTCACCACTTTGGAATACAATCATCATCACTACAATAGCATTGCATTGTTTTTCTGTTCCTATAATCAGCATAACTGGTTCCTGTCATGATAGATAGTGTTGTGTATTCAACAGAACAGCAAACCTGGATATCATACCAGTAAACAAGAAACATGTTTTATACTTACATACTACAATTTTAAATAACATTTTACTTTTTAAACATAGGAAAAACTTCTGTAAAAGCACAATTTTGCTGTGATCATGAACTTTTTCTATTTTTTTCTTTTATGTGACTCATATTTAGAGTACCTATAATTCTTTAGGTACAAAATGTACACTGACGTGTGTGCATACTGGATTCTAGAAATAATCACATGTTAAATTAATGTGTTTCACTTATCGTTTTTGAACATTTGTTGATTTTTTTTAATATATCTGGATATAACTAAGTAGAAAATAAAGTCCCGCTTTTGTTTGAGCCACTAAACCTACATGTATGAACAATTTTAAAAACAAACAAACAAAAAAATTGCAAGTTTTACCTCACAATTTCAAATAATAACACTATTAAATAATACAACTTGCATTTCACAACACTGCAGCCTAAGTTGTAAATACATAAACACCTTATAAATTAATCTGAACTAAATATGTGTAAAAAAAAACAACAATAAAAAACTGGTAAATATGTACTTTTACAATATTTTTTATGGAACTCTTTCTGCCTATTTTATTATTATTCTTAGAAAAAGTCATTCCTAATAGCTCTTGAACTGGCTATTATCTGTACAAGCTATTATAAAAAAGCAAATGTTCATGAAAAACTACTGTTAATGATAAGAACTCGCTAGTACTGGATATAACAGATGTGATGTGGTTAAAATATTGTAACAAGTTCTTTGCTTTCAGTCACGAGATCTTAGAACTACTGAACAGTGTCTGCATACACTCTGAAAGAAATATAATTGCTCATTTATCGTGAAGCTTTGAGAAATGACAAAGTACATGTTACAACATATGCATCAGTTTTCCATTATACATATATAGACATTTAGTGTATACACATTTACTAACAAATATTTATAAACACAAGTTTCACACTACCACTTCTTAATTTAAAATGTTTGTGGTACAACAATGTAAGAAAATCAACTAAGGTGAATTATGAAGACTTGAAAATACTAATCTTGTTTATTTCTGACCTACTACTTTTTACTTATTATTTTACTCTTTTCATTTAGTGCAAGTTTTAACTACTGTTCCACTTCACTTGATTTAAAACCATATTATTGTAAGTAAACACTTTCCAACAAGCTTTTAATGTTACCTAGCAATAATATTTTGTTTGCTCATATCTGAACAAATTAAGTCAGCATTATTTGATTACATATTTTAAATGACTCTTTGACAGACTTCTTGTGAAATGTATGTGAATTAACTAATAAAAAAATATACTAAAACATCCCTTGAACCTCTGGCTACTTACTTCATTTAAACTAAACATATTAGGAATACGATACAAAATTATTACATGCCCAATTAATGTGTCAGATTTGTAGAATCTTGAAAGGTTTTAGTCCATGAAAATAACATTCATAAACATTATAATCAAATTTACATTTAGCTTTACCTTTTTATACTGAGTAGCAAACTTAACCATAATTTTCCATGTACTATAAAACAAGCACACTCATTTTACATTACTGCTCTGGTAAACTTGTTAATTATTATTTGAAGTTCAAAACAGAAAGGAATCATTAATGCTATTGTTACATTACTGATCAAGTTTTGTTTCAAATACACAATAACAAACACTTGCCAAAAATACTTTCTTCAGGCACAGTTTACAAGATAAAACCAAAATTGCATTTTTCTGTCTTTTTTTTACTATACAAACATTCAATCAGGAATGTTATGAAACTGTTCTGCTGAAAATGTTTTTTTTTTATTTTGTGATTTAATATAAAGAACTTAAACCAACACAGTAAAACATGCAAGTAGTCAGTTGGATTTAAATTATTTCTTATAACTTTGTTTCTGGGAGACTCAAAGACCTCTGCAGGCATTGGGCAGGAATCACAGAAAGGCCTGTTATATGTTCTCTACCACCTCTTTCAGCCTTACAGACTGCCAACAGTGGGAAGTTATTTGCTTCATTGGTGAGTGTTACCAGACACTCATTTGGCATTTTTGCTGCATTTTTATTGACAGTATCTGTAGTAGGGATTTCAGTAGGAGTTTTGCTGCAAAGTGTATTTGAGGCACTTACACAGAGTTCAGAATGATTTGGTTTAACCACAGTTGCACAATACCTGAAGTCATTCTGAATAGAATTTTGAGACCTTGTTTCATCAGCAGTAAAGTAAGCTGACATTTGACTAGAGTTGTCCCCATGATCTCTGTGATAGCAATGTGTTAACTGAACTGGAACAACATTACCAACTGCTGGTGTAAAAACAGTTTCTACCATGATCTCAGGTTCAAACATGATGGAATCTGTGCGGGTACAGACATTTCGACAACTTTCCAAGTTTAAATTTTCTAAAATTTTGTTCAAGTGCTGCTGCTGAAGCTTGTAATTTTCTCGTAACTTGTAAAGTTGGTGAGCACTGAATTTACGGATACGATTTCGTTGATATACATAATTCTCTCTTAATCGGTCTATCTGGCCAGAACTGTAATCTCGCACTCTGTGGACTTGTTGATAATAGTTATCTCGAAATCGGTCTACTTGCTGGGTACCATAGTCGCAAATATCTTTCAGTCTGTCTGTTTGCAGTGAATAGCTTTCTCTAAGTTTCTCCATTTGTTGAATACAATTGTCTTTGATTTTCTGGACTTGAAAATAGTAGTGGTCTCGCAGACGATCCAGCTGCTGACGTCTGTAGCCTTCCATGTTCTCTAACATACGCTTGATTTGCTGTGCTTTTGTGGAATGAGTAACTCCACATGGAAAGAGACATTCTACCCCAGATTTCTTCAATATTACATGGACTAAAATAACTATTAGAGTTAACAAGAGAAACCCAAAACCAGTTGCAAAGCCCACTAAAATACTAATTATTTTTATATTTACCAAAAATGTATAGTCCAGAGTTATGTAAATATTAACAACCTCTTTATTTAAAGGATTTGATGCAATGCACCTGAAATTACCACCACCCATTCTCTGAATCTTATTTATATAAAGACTGCCATTTCTGAGTAACGAAAAATAGTCACCTTTTGTATAACTTAGAATGTCTTCTGTACTACTATATACATGAGGGTAACCACCAGATGAGAACTGATTTTTGATGACAAAATCAGTATTTTCATGCTGTGCACTCCAGTGGAAGACTTTATTCTGTGGAGTTATCCAAGTGAGGTTTGGGGTTGGATTACCAACTGCTTGACAACTAAGTACAGCTGAAGATCCAACTCTGTACTTTACTCTGTAATAGTGATCTTGCACAGTAGTATTTGTACACACCATGTGTTTGTCAAGAGCATCCAGAAATGTGTGATGAACTTGTGACTTTGGAGAGGAACACACAGTCTTAAATGGATTCAACAGATGAGTGTTGGTATGATCTCCAAGCCATTGCAACAACCAATACAAGTAGCAATCACAGTGCCATGGATTACCAGCTAAGTCTAATATTTCCAATGTTGATAAAAAATCAAGTACTCCCTGATGTAGTGTGGTTAAGTTGCTTCCCATTAAATTTAAAACTCTGATATTAACCAAGGGAATGAATGCATCTTTTGCTACTGCAGAAAGTGATGAGTTGGCAATGTGCAGCTCTTCCAAGTTCGATAAACCGGTCAACATTGGCTTGGTAATTTTTGACAGTCTTAAGCAATTAGACAAGTACAATTTTTTCAAAGAGTTTGAAGACCTAAACAAATTATCTAAAGATATAAAGAAATTGAAACTAATATCTAGCACTTCCAAATTCTCTAATGGTTTCAAAGTATTTTCATGTAAAAAGCTAATTTCATTCTTACTAAGATTCAGCCATTTCAATTCTTTCAGTCCTTTAAAGCTCAACATTCCTACATATATAATTTTGTTGTTACCGAGGTCTAAGGTGTTTAAATTATTTAGTGATGAAAAGACTACATTGCTCAAATTGTGTATATGATTGTAATTTAACTTCAGAACTTCTAGGTTTTTCAGATCTTTGAACCAATCATGCTGTAAATGGCTTAAATTATTTTCTGACAAGTCTAGTACTCTTAAAGAGTTTAGCTTGGAAAAGCTGTCCAGTTCAATCTTTACTAGTTTATTATTATTTAAATACAGCATTTCAAGGGATTTAAACTTGCTAAAGAATAAAAATGAAATCTTAGTAAGTTGATTATATGATAAATCAAGTATCTGCAGCTTTTCAAATCCATAAAAACTATCACTTGATAAAGACCCATGTAGTAAATTATGACTAAGATCTAGAACCTGAAGCAACAATAGAAATTTAAAAGACCCCCAGTTAAAGAATTTCAGTTCATTATGTGCCACATCAAGTTTTTTTAGGCCCGGAAAATCATGTAGAAGAGAACTGTTCAATGATCGAAGTTGAATTCCCGATATATTTAAGGCAGTAATATAGTTTGGATAGGATACTAGAGTTGTCAGATTTTTAACTGTACAACCAACTTGTATCTGATTTTCGTAATGATGGCACTTGCACCCGTGTGGACAGACTTCATCATCATATATATAGTCAGTTTCTAATATAGGTGTGTTTCTATTTACCAATGTTGTCAGCAATTTAGACTGGCTAAAATCTGAAGATATCACAACATGGGACTGGAAAATAAATATGCATAAAATCAGCACAACCTCACAAGCTCCAATTTGCTCCATTTCCTTTGTTGGGTGTCAGTCTTATGGCATTCTTTCTTTCTTCACTTTCTGTTTGAAAAAAAAAAGAGAAAAAGTTCTTTACTGTAAGAAACTTATAAACATATAACTCAATTACCTAATGGTAAGGAAAAAAATTAAAATGAAATTGGACATTTAAAAGTAAGAAATTATGTTTTTTAAGATTAAATGTTGATAAGATGTGAATATAATTAAAATACTCTTTGACCAATGACAGTATTTCATCCCCCAAACTTCAACTCTTCCCGATGTAATTTTGTAAAAATGTCTTGTTTTTGAATGTGAACATGAGTATGAAAGTTTAGCATGGGGATGAATTCTGCATAAAGAAAAATCCCACAATATTAGCATTCAGTCACAGTTTATGGTGCTGAGTTTACAAACATCCAACAAATAGGGAAAAATAAACAGTAAAACTCATAAGACAATTTAACTTGTGGACTTTTATGATACATTTATATATGTATAATTTAAATTATAGTTTTTAATCTTATTTTTGAAAGAAAGGTAAAGTTGGGTTTTTAGGCAAATTGATAATCATTTGTCATTTGAACATACTCTTATTTTGAACTATTTCTGCATAGTCCTTTTTATTTTTAAGGCTTTCACAGTTCTACAAACATATAATATATATAAATTTAGTCTTACCTACAGTCACAATTTTTAAAGCCCATTCTCACATATTAGTTTGTGAAAAACATTTTTTTGATGAAAACCACTTTACTATCACACATTCCATAAAAATAAGTCTTGGTTGAAGCAATTTCAGAATGCACTGTTGTAGATTTTTTCTTTTCATTTGAATATTTTTTATTGTTTTTGGCTAGTCAGTTTTTTCTCATCGTGTGACGAGTGAACAACTTTGATGACTAGAATTTTCTCTAATATTTAGAAAATGATTTTAAAGATACAAAATATGAGATAGGAGAGATTAGATCCAGACTGTTGATTCATTAGCAAGTCTGTTACATTGGCTGACTGATTACTCATTTAGCATATGTGTCCATTAATTCAATTTACAGAACACCAAATGTGTTACAATGAAGAAATAGACACAAGAAGTACTGTAGTCATGAGAAAATTAGTAACTATTTAACAATATTTGTGAAATTAAGCCTATCCTTAAGTTCATGAAACCATTTAAATGTAAAACCTGTAGTTAGGAAGAAATAAAATGCCTTTGTTATAATTATTTGGACTGGACTTTGTATTCTTTCTTGTTACCAAACAATCCAAAAGAACCCACTTAACATCAAAAACTGTTACAACAACATCTTAAAATAAGTGACTTTCCCACATATAGAATTATTACCTGAAGTCTTTACTATAATTGACAGTGTTTGATAAGAAATAACTATGTGAATGAACAAAGGGTAAATCATAATATTGTAACTGTTACTTGCACATAAGATATTTGGTTGCTAGAAGGTAAAAACCTTTAATTTCAACACAAACTACGATCATAACTATGATACGAATTACTATAGCAACGCAGAACGCTTATTGATAACTCGGTTGTAAGTACACGTAAATAACTTACATGTGCCCTTGAAAGAGGTAACTGTTAAGTTTTTGTATATCTACCTTCACGTGTAATATTGAATTTCTATATCAGCAGTTATAGAGCACGTGGCAGTAAATCTCTTCAATACAGCACTAAAATAAAGAGTACCCTTGCCACAAGAAAAACTGTTTCATTGAACTTTGAATATATACTTATTTTCTATGCAAATTCTATAAATTAGAAACACGTTATTTGCAAGCTAGTATGTAATTAAAAATGTTTTCATAGTGATTATTATTTTTGTTGCTACTGTATATTATTCCCGTTATTCAAATTATTCACGCCTTAATTAACTGAATTTATTGCTTTCTGGACATTCAGCTCTTTTTTTCTTCTTCTTCTTACCTTTGCAACGTGGTTTACTTAATGAGCCCTCTCCCAGCATTTTTAGCTGTCTAATAATGGTTGGAGACGGCTTGAATGGGTAATGAAGAAAAACTTTAATATAAGTTTAACATAACAGCAAATGTACAACGTTTCGACATGGTTTTGTCATAATCGAAACCTTGTCGAAACGTTGTACATTTGCTGTTATGTTAAACTTATATTAAAGTTTTTCTTCAT